GGTCGACGTGGAGGTGGTCGTCGACTTGGGAGGTCGAAGGGCACGAACGGGAGCTACTGGTCGACGCGGTTGCCCGGTCGAGCAGGTTACCTGGGTGACGAAGTGCTGCGGAGGAGTGCGACGGTCTCCCAGGCGAAGTTGGCGAGCCCGACCTCGGTGGTGGTATCCCGAGGTCGACGTGGTCGATCAGAGACAATCGTCAGCTCGAGGTTGACGTGGTGTTGTGCACTGTGCAGGTGACGAGACACTGCACGCCAATCATCTACGAAGTGGGTGCATTGCTGTCCTGCGTGAGCAACGCTGGCACGCCATCAACCTGCGACGTTGGCACGCCGTCGACCTTGCCTTGCTGGAGCGCGGTCGACCAAGTCGTGCTGGAACGCGGTCGACCAAGCTGCGCTAGCAGTTGGCCGACCTGAATGCTTGCTCTGATGTAGTCTTGCTATGCCAACTTCATTGTACCAATTGTTCAAAACTTTTCCTAGTGAAACTCTTGCAAATTTTCCCCGTGAACTAGCAAGTAGTGTGCGCACAAGGAAAACAACTAAGGAACAGAGAACGCAGAGATCACACGAGCACACGTGCCTAGCCCGTAGCCTAGCTCCCGTTGCTGCAGTTATCTCCGCATGCTGGAGCTGGAGTTTCTTCGACTACTGAGGGTGCTGCCGTCGCGGGTCCCGAAGGTGCTCGTACTGGGAGTACTGGAGCTGCTGGGCCTGCGAGTACGACTGGAGCTAGAGCTGCTGAGGGTGTTGGCGCTGAGGCTGCTGCTGGAGGTCCTAGAGCGACTGGAGCTGTTGGGTGTACTAGAGCTGGAGGTGCTGCCGCTGGGCGTACTGGTGCTGTCCCTGCTGTGTCTTGAGTCACCGCGCGGCCTCAACCATACTTCGTTCCACTCCTTCAGCAGGTTCTTGGTCTTCCGCCTTCTACTGGTCCTCCTCCTCCCTTAGAGTGTCCACAGCCTGTCCAGTCACAGTTACAGTTACAGCCGGCCTCCCCACTGCCTGCTCCTCCCTACACTGGTCTTACTGGAGGTCTTGCTGAGCGTCGTGAGCCTGCGTCTCGCCCTGCGTCGCCTGTCCGTCCCGCTCGCACGAGAAGTCGTGGTTCACGTCAGCGTCCTCCTCCTATCCCTGGTCCGCACCGAATGTCTATGCGTCCGTCCACTTCCCCTCTGTGTGCCCCTTTGCCTTCTCCTCCTGAGTCCTCTCTTCATGCTCTTGCCGACCCAGAGTCGGACTCTCTTCGTGCTGCCAGTCCTACTGTCATGCGTCTCCTTGCTACTGTCGTCACTGACCCTTCTTTTGAGTCCACTACTGCGTCTGCCCTAGTTTCTGAGCTCGTCGACTTTGCTATTCGCTGTCGCCTAGACTACGCTGCTAGTCTTGTCGCTGAGTTTGGGTCTGTGTGTCCTCCGTCCGTCGGCACGGACGTCCTTGAGGACATGCAGGAGGAGTTCCAGTGTCTGGCTGCTGCTTCACCTCATCTCGTGTCTGTACTGCTTACCCCTTAGGGAGACCCGGATGCACTTGACATCCCGACTCCGCGCTCTTATGCTGAGGCGATAGAGGGTCCCTACTCCTCTCAGAGGCAGGCAGCTATGGACACAGAGATGGCTTCATGGAAGTCCACAGGCACCTACGTTAACAAGGTTCCCCCGCCTGGGGCGAACATCGTCAGTGGCATGTGGATTTTCAGGGTGAAGCGGCCGCCGGGTTCTCCGCCTGTCTTCAAGGCGCGTTACGTGGCTCGTGGCTTCAGTCAGCGGCAGGGAGTTGACTACTTTCAGACCTTCTCTCCCACCCCGAAGATGACCACTCTTCGGGTACTGCTGCACGTAGCTGCTCACCGTGACTACGAGCTGCACTCTCTTAACTTCAGCACTGCTTTCTTGCAGGGCAGCCTACACGAGGAGATCTGGCTGCGCCGCCCACCTGGCTTCACTGGGTCTTTTCCTCCTGGCACCCAGTGGAGCCTCCGGCGGCCAGTCTACGGTCTCCGCCAGGCACCGCGTGAGTGGCACGACACATTGAGGACTACGCTTGCGGCTCTTGGGTTTGCTCCTTCTACTGCCGACCCGTCGCTGTTTTTGCGCACTGACACCTCTCTGCCGCCGTTCTACATCCTGGTGTACGTCGACGACTTGGTCTTTTCCACAGCTGACACTGCTGGACTCGTCTACGTGAAGTTCGAGCAGCAAAAGAGACACACGTGCACAGACCTGGGTGAACTGCGCAGCTACCTTGGCTTGCAGATCACCCAGGACAGAGCATGCCGCAACATTACCCTGACTCAGTCACATATGGTGCAGCAGGTCCTTCAGCGCTTTGGCTTCACGTACTCCTCGCCTCAGGCGACTCCTCTGCCTACTCGCCACTCACTCTCAGCTCTGCCTTCGGATGAGTCCGTAGAGTCGAGTGGCCCGTACCCAGAGCTTGTTGGCGGCCTCATGTACCTTATGACCTGCACACGACCAGACCTTGCATACCCTCTTAGCATTCTCGCATGCTATGTTGCTCCTGGGAGCACATGGTTGCAGCGAAGAGGGTGTTGCGCTACTTGTGCAGTACGTCGAGCATGGGGCTTGTGCTTGGAGGGCGGAGTCCAGTGGTCCTCACTGGGCACGCAGACGCTTCTTGGGCAGAGGACCAGGCTACGCAGCGGTCGTCACAGAGTTACACCTTCAGCCTTGGTTCCGGCTCTGTTTCGTGGCGGGCTACCCCCTCGTCTTCTGTTCTCGGCTCCAGTTGTGAGGCTGAGATCTACGCCGGGGCTATGGCTGCACAGGAGTTACGCTGGCTCACCTACCTGCTGACCGACCTGGGAGAGCCGCCTCGTTCTCCTCCAGTCCTGTACGTAGACAACAAGGCCATGCTGGCCTTGTGTCGAGAGCAGAGACTGGAGCACAGAACAAAGCACTTTGCTCTCCGCTACTTCCTTGCTCGTGAGCTACAGCAGCGTGGTCAGTTGGGACTTGCGTACGTGGCCTCTGAGGCCAACACTTGCGCCTTGTGATCATCAGCGCTTTTGTACGCAGCTGGGTCTTGTGTCTGCCTTGCCTCACATGCTCACCTCTTAACCTTGCTTGTACTGTTACCTATGTATATACTCCTGCTCTTGATTGTCTAGCATTATATTTATATGTACTCCTGCATCTGAACTGGCCGTGTGGCCTTGAACTTGTGCTCGGAATGTGTGGTGACTGTGTGATCCACCCTGAGCTTGCTCTGATTTGCTTTGCTTGATTGGTCTTGTGACCCCTTGCTCTCCCCCACTTTGCCTATGGGGGTGTGTCAGAATATTATAGCTTATGCATTTATGTAGGCTGTAGTGGGGTAGCCCATAAGGGGTACAACCCAATTAGGGTTAGTACTTGTACCCAACTCTTTCATAGTTGATTCATTCCTCGTTCTAATTTCACAGCAGGTTCCAAGCTCGAGATGAGAAGGAGAAAAACGAATGCATTTATGTGCAGATTCGTTATCAGGCATTACATTTGTTACAAGTTGATTCATTGCGCCAATAATTTAGCAGGATCCCTTTTTGTGAATATAGAACAAAAAATGACACTATTTGGAATAACTTACCGTATGTTGTTGGGTGTGCAGATAGCAGAGAATCTGACCAATGTGTGGTGCGGCTTGTGAGAAGTTATCGTACTTTTCAGGCATCGATGCTTTTATATTTCCATTTTTTATTACTATTTCCACTAGTACATGAATGTACTATGGAAACCAAAAACGAGTCATGAAAACATGAGCATGGAAATGGCTTTATCGCAACGAGAGTATCTATATGAGAAAATGGGGATGGGAGAATGTCAACAGGAATAAGGAAGTGAAGAGATAAGGATGGAGAGACGCCATTGCAGGGCTGACGTTTCAAAAAACGCCTCCCTGTTTTTGACCCGCAATTTTTTTTTTCTACTCTGACGGCACTTCGGCCGCAAAATGGCCACTCTGAGCATGTTAAAAGAAATCAGGGTTGAAAAAAACACAACTCTGGTCCTTTAGTGTTGGGGAAATGACTTCAGAGTCGCGGTTTTTGTTTTGTTTTTTTTTTTTTCCTTCTCGTTTGTCGGTGAGCTTCAAGGGCGAGAAGGACTGTTGCAACATTGGCTCGATTTGGCGCGACTTTGCAAGTGCCAACTGGGCGACCTGCCACGCAGCTGAGCTGGCACAAAACACAAACCACCACTTGGCGCGCGAGAATCTGCCGGTGCCTCCGCAACATAAATTTTCAACCTATGAATCAGGAACAATTTATTTCAAGTGCTGTGGTGCGGAGAAATTTTCGATTTTAGCACCAAAAAGTGCGATACATTACCTGTGGCAAGATATCCTCTCCCACCGACTCGCCGATTTGTTGTGCTATCCGCTAAGACATCACTATTGGGCTTCTTTTTTCAGCCCCCTTCAACGGTTAACCCACTGTGGGACACAATTCAACCTGCGTAATACTGCCACAGATAGAGTGTATTCAGATATCGCAGCAGGTGCTGTGTGCTATGCTCACGTGTTGGCATTCGCTGCCACCTCGGAGGTGGGTGTATCGAAAGGAAATTTTAAGGAAGCTTCCTCCCGATAAACTCGCATGCAGGGACCACAAAACGCATACTCTGTAGTGACAGACTCCAGAAATGACTAACACTTAGGCCTATTACACTGAATCAGGGGCCATAAAACAATAACTCTGAGGCTCTCAGTGATGAGTATTTGACTACTCTGGAATTCCATTTTTCACAAACTCGATGGTCTGATCCGTCAGACTAATCAGACTATTTACTCTGATAGCGTCAGCCCTGCGCCATTGGGAAGTCGAGAGAGCGAAAACGGCAACACTGGTGAACCTAAAGCAATCGTTTCATACATGTTCATCGTTTCTCCCCTTCAACACCCCCGAATATCTCCTTACAAGGTGCACTCCTCTAAACGAATCTCATTCCCTAAGGCCACGCATGGACTGAGATACCCTCATGGCGTGGTATGGCTCGCATTGGCATGGTATGGCTCACATTGGCATGGTATGGCTCACGTTGGCATGATATGGCTCACATTGGCATGGTATGGCTCACATTGGCATGGTATGGCTATTGGCATGGTATGGCTCACATTGGCATGGTATGGCTATTGGCATGGTATGGCTCACATTGGCTGCGTCACTACACAGTCAGAGGGGGATGGCACCCATGGATTGCAACCGGCATGACATGACATGCATCGGTGACACGCTTTGGACAACGTCGATGGGCCACGGGAAATGACATAGCATGCAGCTGATCTTGCAAGCTCGCATGCATAAGCTGACAATCGCGCACCTCCCATGCCGTTGATGGGCAGGGCTGAGTGGTAGGAGATGCGAGGAGGGGAGAGGTAGGCCAATGTTGAAAGAATGCTTGATGGTTGAAGGAGGGCGAAGAGTGATTTGAAGCAGTGGAGCTGAGGCAGCATGTATGTGCTGTGTCATCATCCCATGTGCCACCCTAAACCCTATCATCACCACATATGCCTGTGCTGCCACATGGCCATACAGCATGTGTTGACACACTTGTGGAAGCACAAGCCCAGGCAACTCACATGCTCACACCTGTGCTGTGCTCATCCCATCTCACACTCCCATCAACTCATCCCATCTCACAACCCCATCCCCTCATCCCATCTCACACTCCCATCCCCCCATCCCATCTCACACTCCCATCACCTCATCCCATCCCACACTCCCATCCCCTCATCCCATCTCACACTCCCATCACTCCATCCCATCTCACACTCCCATCCCCTCATCCCATCTCACACTCCCATCACCTCATCCCATCTAACACTCCCATCCCCTCATCCCATCTCACACTCCCATCCCCTCATCCCATCTCACACTCCCATCATCTCATCCCATCTCACAATCCCATCCCCTCATCCCATCTCACACTCCCATCAACTCATCCCATCTCACACTCCCATCCCCTCATCCCATCTCACACTCCCATCCCCTCATCCCATCTCACACTCCCATCACCTCATCCCATCCCACACTCCCATCCCCTCATCCCATCTCACACTCCCATCACCTCATCCTATCCCACACTCCCATCCCCTCATCCCATCTCACACTCCCATCACCTCATCCCATCTCACACTCCCATCCCCTCATCCCATCTCACACTCCCATCACCTCATCCCATCTAACACTCCCATCCCCTCATCCCATCTCACACTCCCATCCCCTCATCCCATCTCACACTCCCATCATCATCCCATCTCACATTCCCATCCCCTCATCCCATCTCACACTCCCATCAACTCATCCCATCTCACACTCCCATCCCCTCATCCCATCTCACACTCCCATCCCCTCATCCCATCTCACACTCCCATCACCTCATCCCAACCCACACTCCCATCCCCTCATCCCATCTCACACTCCCATCACCTCATCCCATCTCACACTCCCATCAACTCATCCCATCCCACACTCCCATCCCCTCATACCATCTCACACTCCCATCCCCTCATCCCATCTCACACTCCCATCACCTCATCCCATCTCACACTCCCATCCCCTCATCCCATCTCACACTCCCATCAACTCATCCCATCTCACACTCCCATCCCCTCATCCCATCTCACACTCCCATCACCTCATCCCATCTCACACTCCCATCACCTCATCCCATCTCACACTCCCATCACCTCATCCCATCTCACACTCCCATCCCCTCATCCCATCTCACACTCCCATCACCTCATCCCATCTCACACTCCCATCCCCTCATCCCATCTCACACTCCCATCACCTCATCCCATCTCACACTCCCATCACCTCATCCCATCTCACACTCCCATCACCTCATCCCATCTCACACTCCCATCCCCTCATCCCATCTCACACTCCCATCACCTCATCCCATCTCACACTCCCATCCCCTCATCCCATCTCACACTCCCATCAACTCATCCCATCTCACACTCCCATCCCCTCATCCCATCTCACACTCCCATCACCTCATCTCATCTCACACTCCCATCCCCTCATCCCATCCTACACTCCCATCACCTCATCCCATCTCACACTCCCATCACCTCATCCCATCTCACACTCCCATCCCCTCATCCCATCTCACACTCCCGTCACCTCATCCCATCTCACACTCCCATCACCTCATCCCAGACTGCATGAGCACAGCCATCAAGCTGGCTGGATAATGGATAATGGGGGGAGTTAACAAGAGAATTGGAAATGGAAAGCTGACTGGAAAAACAAGCACCGGGATGGGAAAATGATGTAAAAAATGGCAGGGAAAATGGCAAACAGAATTGGATTGGAGATATGGCTACATCTTTCAGCCTCACAACGCCACCCCCCTCCTTTCTGCATCATTCCTTCTCGTTTCCTTTTAACCCCACCCTGACGATAGTGGGTGGGAACATGGCATGGAACATGGTATGGGAACATGGTATGGGAACATGGTATGGGAACATGGTATGGGAACATGGTATGGGAAAATGGTATGGGAACATGGTATGGGAACATGGTATGGGAACATGGTATGGGAACATGGTTTGGGAACATGGTATGGGAACATGGTATGGGAACATGGTATGGGAACATGGAACGGGAACATGGCATGGGAACATGGCACAGGAACATGGCATGGGAACATGGCATGGGAACATGGCATGCATAGGAACATGGTATGGGAACATGGTATGGGAACATGGTATGGGAACATGGTATGGGAACATGGTATGTTAACATGGTATGGGGACATGGTATGGGGACATGGTATGGGAACATGGTATGGGAACATGGTATGGGAACATGGTATGGGAACATGGTATGGGAACATGGTATGGGAACATGGTATGGGGACATGGTGTATCAATTGACTCCATCACAATCTCATGGCCGCTCCTGCTTTCATTGTCATGGCCATAAAATGATTCATTCCGCATTCATTTCATCCTCGGTTGCCATCCCAATCATTTTGGTCAAGCTCTGACATTGGCCTAGTTGATACTTCACTCATTCCAATGACAAGGGAATATCGCATCTCATTGCTTCATAGTTTTCAGAGCCTTTTCATTAACATTTCCGCGACTGTGTTCAACCTGACCATTTATGTTCATTCTTTGTCACTGTGGCCTGACATTGAATTGTTCTAGAATATTGCTCCATTTCCTGACCATCGAAATTCAATTCTGAGATAGGTTTTTGTACGAGTTCACCATTTTTGGTTCAAATTCATCAGATAGCATGAGTCCTATCAGAGCATGAAACATGGGCAGCCTAACTCAAGACTCTTTGTTTTCACACTCATTCCTTCATTCCATGCACTCCATCCACCCCCATCCAGACCAGAGCATAAAAAGAAGATGTATATATTGAGATTTCCAGAATATACATGGTTACTAAGTCTACAGTGGCACCCCTCCTACAAGTCCCTTCTCTCCATCCACCAGTCATTCCCATCATTCCCACAACATCCTGCCAGACAGGATGGAAAAAAGGGGGTGAACCCCTACCATCAGCATTCCACATCACCCTCACCAGCGTTACCTTACTTGCCATTGTGTTACTTATTCAAGGCTATGCTTGACCAAGCTCTACTCACCCACCTCCTCATCCGCCTCGTCACTCTAGCCTTCCCATTTGGTGCCTTATTTGCTGTTGTCCCTTCCATTCTTACCTTTGCTGCATCATCATTATCAGAACCTGGCATTTGCCTTGAAATTTTGTCAGAGTTCTTAGCAGCAGTTGCAGCAGTTGGCATCAATAGGGACAACAGCAGCTGAAGCCTTTCTGAGGTTGGAAAGACCAATCTTTTTTTCTGAGGTCTGGCATTTGTTGGAGCTTTTTTTCACTGAATCTTTTGTGCTGGTTTTTACAGCAGGAGTTCGCACAGATGCGCAGCTCGTGCTGTTTGCACTGCTGGAGCTGAAGGTGCAGACCATCACGCTGCTATTGCTCTTGTTAACATCATTCTTACTGGCAGCAGTTTTTTCAACCATAATCCAAGGCGATTTCTTGCCTGTGGAAGCGAGAAACTCATCCTTTGATAGGAAGGGCACGTTTCCTTCATTGCTGCAGGCGCTTTCAGGGTTAAGATACCGTTGACGGAATTCCAGCAGATCCAACTCGGTCATATACGAGAATTCGTCTTCAGAATCCTCGGAAATTCGTGCCTTTTTGGCACTTGGAGCAACAGTAGCAGTAGTAGCAGGTGTGGATTGTTTGCGTGCTGCATCGCTCCAGCTGGGAGAGGTGGAAGCGGAGGCAGCAGGAAGGTGGTGGCTTTTCAGTCCTGCTGGAACGCATCCGTGGTCCTCTTCCCAGTAGAAGAGGTCGTCGGTGTCAGCCTTGCTGCACGAAGCGAGGGTTTTCACGGCCATCAGGCAGTCACGTGGAAAGAGAACCTCGAGGCTTGAGCAAGGGGGTAGCAACGAGCATGGGTGCGGATCAGTCCCATGATAGCGCCCTACCAGCGTGGGTTGTCACGGCGCTTTCCCACCCTGACCTGCGCTTTCTAATCACGACGACGACTATCAAGGGCTTGCTAGTCCCACCGTCAGGTCTTGAGACTGGAGCTGTAGCGACGCGACAAGGTTGAGGGCTTGGCGGAATGGTGAAAGGCGGGAACAATTTGGAAGTTCAGAAATCATTTCCCTACATTACAATCAAGCGAATTCTTGTTTTGAATTCTACTTTGCCTTATGAATATAGGTTCTGGCCTTACAATAATCTTTCAATCAATATCATTTATTAATTTTCCCTTTTAGCGTTTTGTCTCATGCCATATCAACATCAACATGGTAGCATGGGTCTCTGGACTTATTGTACATTAATATGCAGCTAATGTATTACCCCGGATATAATGTTGGAAACAATCAGTGTTAAGCGCTCCTGTCGTGTCGAAACACTAAGGCAGAAGCGAAGTACCGCATACCGAGGCACCAGCGAGTCAACTCTCGGAGGTTGAAGTAACCGCTGGAGGTTACGCGAAAGTCAAAGGTCAGCGACCTTTGACCTGACAAATATAGCGCGACAGCAAGGACACGCAACTGACTCGTTACAGAGCAGTTGCCCGAGTCGTCACTGTATCGAACCGCAACAGCAACAGTAAAACAGTTATTAACTGTATCCATTCGTATTCCTTGTACTCTTATAAAACCTTGTACTTGCTTGTTTTAATTCAACTCACTTTGCCCTCACATACTAGCGCAAGGTGGTTCAGAATCTCTTCATTAAACGCTTCCGCTACTACACTCTACCCAGACTTTAACTCTACCAAAGATCCTAAGGGGCTTTTCAGCCCAACATATAAGACCCGGGGGTATTATAAGAATCCCACCCCAAAAATGAGGGGGGGGTCTTAAAGCCCGAGTACAGCATGGTTTTTTTCAAGTTCAAGATTCTTGAACTTGAATTCGTAAAAAACAGGGTTACCCTATTTCTCTGTCTAAAACTATCGCGACCTTGGGACAATGCCGAGCGACACTCTTTCCTCATTGGCTTTTGAGCAGAGTTGCAAAAAAGAACCGAACGTCACCCAGGTTGGCCCAATGTTTGGCTCTCACATATCTTGAACACCTAGTCGTACTCATGAACTGCCTACTCCCTCACCTAAGTAGACAGCCTGTGCGCCTTGCACTAGTTTTAGGAGCCGCGATATTTACAGCAACTCCCAAGGCACACATGCTGTCTCGCCAATATCTGGGCAGCAGGCGCCTAGAGTCACCCGCTATTTACATACGTTGTCGCGTTACTCACACGGAACGTGACAGTCAAACGAGTGCTTCACCATGCTACCTCACGTTTAGCGCGCGTATTCACCCGCGCTCTCCCTCGCCACCCGCGCCCGCCCTCGCCACCCGCGCCCTCCCTCGTCACTCGCGCCTGCCCTCGTCACTCGCGCTTGCCCGGGATTCCGTGCTTCGCGCGCATTTCCGCCAGTCGCGCACGCGCCTTCGCGTCACGCTCGCTTCCCCTCGATGCGCCCTCTCCTCCCGCGCGTTTCCCCTCGATACCCGCTATCCTCCCACGCGCGTAACGCGCGCTTCCCTTTGGCAGACACCCTGCTCCCCTCGTCACGCGCTCAATCATTCAGTCGCGATCTGCCGTGGATCAATAGCTGAAGCCGACGTCACGTGCATGCGTCGTTGCCCCAGTTGCTGCTGCCTGGCCCTCGCCTCTTCTCGTCGCCTCCGCCACCCCAATTGGATGGCGTTTGTCGCAAGTGCCAACCCCTACCCACGTCGCCATCGACACAATCGTGTGTAGCATCTCCCTCATACGCCCTTGCTCCGTCCAGCCGCAGGGTTTAGCCTACTGATGTGATGGGCAGAAAGGGAGGGACAGAAGGGGATGACCAGCTGAGGGGGGGATGGTGTCACATTGAAAGCTTGATTGATGGGCGGTGGACAGGAAGGGAACGGGCTGGGGAGATGGGAAGGTCACAAGGATAAGGACAAGGGGGAGAGGGGGAAGGATAAAGGGGGAGAGACAGAGGGGGGAGGAACAGGGGGGAGGGCAGAGGAGGAGAGACAGAGGGGGAAGGACAGAGGGGGAGAGACAGAGGGCGAAGGGACGAGAGGGAGAGACAGAATGGGAAGGATGGAGGGGGAGGGAGGGGGAAGGGCAGAGAGTGAGAGCCAGAGGTGAGAGCGGGTTTACCGCCCAATCCCCTCTCCCTACGACCTGCTTCCCCCCTCCCTCCTCCCTGCTTCCCCCCTGCCTACTCCTTGCTTCACCCCTCCCTCCTCCCTGCTTTCCCCCTCCCTCCTCCATGCTTCCCCCCTCCCTCCCCCTTGCTTCCCCCCTCCCTCCCCCCTGCTCCCCCCCTCCCTCCGCCCTGCTTCCTCCCTCCCTCCGCCCTGCTTCCCCCCTCCCTCCGCCCTGCTTCCCCCCTCCCTCTGCCCTGCTTCCCCCCTCCCTCCGCCCTGCTTCCCCCCTCCCTCCGCCCTGCTTCCCCGCTCCCTCCTCCCTGCTTCCCCCCTGCCTACTCCCTGCTTCACCCCTCCCTCCGCCCTGCTCCCCCCCTCCCTCCGCCCTGCTTCACCCCTCCCTCCGCCCTGCTCCCCACCTCCCTCCGCCTTGCTTCCCCTCTCCCTCCGCCCTGCTTCCCCCCTCCCTCATAGAGGTAAGCGTCACGCACCAGGTTACCCTTAGCTTTCCCCATATGCCACCCCTCTACCTCGATCTAACCATCTTCCTTGTCCCTCCCGATGTACCTCTCCAATCCCTCCCCATGTGCCTCTCCTCCCCCTCCCCATGTGCCTCTCCTCCCCCTCCCCATGTGCCTTTCCTCTTCATCCCACGCGCAACAAGGGGGCAGCGCAACAGAGTTGGGAACAAGCTCATTTTCTATTCACCCCCTCTTCCTGCCTCCACCTGACTCCTTGCAGGGCTATTTGGCGTTCATTCACATCCGAAAGGAGGAGGGAGGGCGCAGGTGCAACTAGGGGGCAGCTCAGCAGACTTTGGAATGAGCTCACGTTCCCCATGCCCCGTGCTCTCTCGACTTCCCTTCTTATTCCAGACCTATCTGGATTGCATTCACATTAGCAAGGAGAAGGGTGGGCACACGCGCATGTTTATGCTTACGGAAGCATGAGGACCATAACTCCACACAGATGGCGACAGCACTGGTTGCTAAAGAGGTTGGCATTAGCATAGATTGTCACATGCTGGTTGAACAGAGGCATTTCATAAGGCTAAATCTATCCTCACTTCCAACTGCCTAAATTGTCTATGAATACTATAATATGTGCATGCGGTCATTCAATGTGTCGCTATGCAGATTGTTACGAACGTAGATGCATCCTAGCATGACTAGGTTTAGGACAGAAGACCACTAAACCCACTCAAGCATGGCATGTCGAAGACCACAGGTGCGTCATGGGGAAGTAAACACAACCCATTCACTCATCCTGACCTGGCACCCATAGCTCCACTTCCTCCCCATCGTAACGGCCTTCTATCCACCACTCATCACCACGGTCGCTCCACTCTCCTGCATCTCTTATCATTGCGTTTGCCACTTCAACCTCCTGATCCGATGGGGTTTCATCCGCATCCCTCTCACAGTGGTAACCTGCAATTAGCGCCAATGAGATGGATGGTAAGCCATATTTTAGGACGGTGTGCCTGTCGCGCTAAATAGTCTCGGGGACAACCATCTGGGCAGGGCAGGGGTGGGGCATGCTGGACCCGGGGGGGAGGTGGGGGGGGAAGGGCGGGGCGGTGCATGAGAGGGCAGGGCAGAGCTGCAAGGACAGGGCAGAGCCGCAAGGACACGTGACACAACTGCTGGAGAGCAGGAGAGGTGGAGGGTCAGGGGTAGGGGGCCAGGGGCAAGGTTTAGGGTATCTTAGGATAAAAAAGAAATTTGCAATTGCACGCCAAGCAACACACAACGGCTGTGTGCATGGTGGTGACAGCAGGCCCAAGGCACCACCAACATTGGTTGCTGCTGCCTTGGGAAAGAGCAGGGGCGTACATGATGGTGACAGCAGGCCAAAGGCAGCAGCAACATTGGTTGCTGCTGCCTTCGGACAGCACAGGTGCGTGCATGGTGGTGACAGCAGGCCCAAAGCATGCTTCCCAACATTGATTGCGCCCTGCCTTGGGACAACTCTGGTGCGTGCATGGAGGTGACACGTGAGCGTGATAGGACCCCCAAGGCAGCAGCAACCTTTGTTAACGGTTTGCTGCTGCGTTTGCCTCGTGACATGTGAGCATGATAGGACCGCCAAGGAAGCAGCAAACCGTTGTTGATGGTTGCTGCTGCCTTTGCCTCGTGTCATGTGAGCGTGATAGGACCCCCAAGGCAGCAGCAACCTTTGTTGATGGTTGCTGCTGCCTTTTGCCTCGTGACATGTGAACGTGATAGGACCCCTAAGGCAGCAGCATCCGTTGTTGATGGTTGCTGCTGCCTTTGCCTCGTGAAACGTGAGCGTGATAGGACCCCCAAGGCAGCAGCAACCGTTGTTGATGGTTGCTGCTGCCTTTGCCTCGTGACACGTGAGCGTGATAGGACCCCCAAGGCAGCAGCAACCTTTGTTGATGGTTGCTGCTGCCTTTGCCTCGTGACATGTGAGAATGATAGGTCCCCCAAGGCAGCAGCAACCTTTGTTGATGGTTGCTGCTGCCTTTGCCTCGTGACATGTGAGCGTGATAGGACCCCCAAGGCAGCAGCAACCGTTGTTGATGGTTGCTGCTGCCTTTGCCTCGTGACATGTGAGCGTGATAGGACCCCCAAGGCAGCAGTAACCGTTGTTGATGGTTGCTGCTGCCTTTGCCTCGTGACATGTGAGCGTGATAGGACCCCCAAGGCAGCAGCAACCTTTGTTGATGGTTGCTGTTGCCTTTGCCTCGTGACATGTGAGCGTGATAGGACCCCCAAGGCAGCAGCAACCGTTGTTGACGGTTGCTGCTGCCTTTGCCTCGTGACATGTGAGCGTGATAGGACCCCCAAGGCAGCAGCAACCTTTGTTAATGGTTGCTGCTTCCTTTACGGGGTGACACGTGAGCGTGATAGGACCCCCAAGGCAGCAGCAACTCGATGTTGATGGTTGCTGCTGCCTTTGCCTCGTGACATGTGAGCGTGATAGGACCCCCAAGGCAGCAGCAACCGTTGTTGATGGTTGCTGCTGCCTTTGCCTCGTGACATGTGAGCGTGATAGGACCCCCAAGGCAGCAGAAACCGTTGTTGATGGTTGCTGCTGCCTTTGCCTCTTGACATGTGAGCGTGATAGGACCCCCGAGGCAGCAGCAACCTTTGTTGATGGTTGCTGCTTCCTTTGCGGGGTGACACATTGTCGCTGTACTATGGTCGATGTAGGCTAGAGCATACTAGTTTCGCTCCGTACACAGAGTCCTCACATAGTAACCAGTACCAAAGTAATACATTCTTCCCTGTTCACATTTGCTAGGTACGAGGATGGTAGGTACGAGGTACCCCAAATATTGTGTAGGTGCATCAGAGGGACTACACATACACCCTGGACGGGAATACGAAGAACCTACTGCATGTTTCGCTACGCCAACACCCTCGAAAACATTTTTGGGATGCAGGGAGTTGGGCACTCACCTGAGCTCTCCTTTCTCGTGACCCGCAGGGGCGTCTGCCGCCCCTTGCTCCCCGTCAGTGCGCAGTATCCGCTTTAGTTGTGCGCGTGGCCCAAGCCCGGTCACATGGAGCAATCGCTGCTCGTCGCCTGGAACGCGGGCTCCGCGTCGCCGGGAACGTGGGCTCCGCGTCGACTAGAAGGCGGGCTCCGATCCACCTGAAATGCGGGATCCGCGTCGCGAGGAATGCGGGCTCAGCGTCGCGAGGAATGCGGTCTCCGCGTCGCACAGAACGCGAGCAGCTAAATGCGACGAGCGGTTGCTGCTCAGCGCTTGGTGCAAGAGCCCTATCACGTCCGCTTTCTTCCCCCTGGCTAGTAACAACGACTCCAATACACTACCAATTTCTTGTTGTTCCTAGCTTCCCGTAGTCTCCAGTATGTCGTCACTTTTTTTTCTCGTAAGTGCGATCGCGCTTGCATTGCATGTTCCTACACTTTGCTGTTGCCAGCTCCTGCGATGGTCGGTAAGCTAGTAATCTAGGCACAGCATCGTCCCGAACACGATTATGTTGTGGCGTTGAGTAGGTGGCGTTGCGTTGAGTAGGTGGCATTGATACCCAGCACGTGCGCTGCTCTGTTTTTCTACTTCCCGTTAGCATCGAGCTGATTCAGTGGTGAGGTGAGGAGACTTCGAGTGAGCCACACTTTCCATGCTCCAAGAGAGGGATGTGTGCGACACATTTGTCGCTTTGGGTTGGTGGGATTCGCAAGTTTGGTGAGTGCAAAATGTTCACTAGTTTGCGGGGGATAGTTGTTCTCGCCAAAGGCAACCAACCGAAATTGGTTTCGCGGATCTCGCATACAGCCTATTTCAAATCCACATAACTTTATATTTTACCATGTTGACCTCGGGCTTTAACAGTTGGCTACATTTGATAAAACCCGGGTCTTATCATAAGGTCGGTATACTTCTTGTGTTTTGGAAGTCATACATGTCAACACTATGTGCTTCGTTTTTAGCCTGTAAGGGAATGCGCGCAATGAAATTCGTGTTTAGCATACAAAATTATTACACGAAATTGACATGATGATGCGTATATGTGCTTTTGTGACTGGCCGTACCCCTCATTAATGAAAATTTTATGGGATATGGTGCGGAAAGGGGCAGAAAAGCTATCAGAATTGCATTCATTGCCAATAAAACGACCGATTCTCAAGGGGGAGGAGGGTCTTATAATGTTAGCCCCCATTTAGGGGGGGTATAACAAAAACGACCCATTTAGCGTACCCCCTTCCGTATTATAGACCCGGGGGGTCTACAACTGGAGGGGGTCTTATATCCGGGGTATTACGGTAGATATACTAGTGCTGCCACACAGGCATAGCGGAACGGAACAAGCCAGACGAACAAGCCATTCCATGTTCTCCCAACCCCACCAACCTCCATCCTAGCTCCCAATATGACTACACACTTACGTTCTTGTTGAGTCACATTCCATGTCCCTGCTGCCCACTCACAGCCAGACTGCCACACCGGGAAGTGCGGTGGGGTAGGCCATAGGGGCATGTCACATGCTGGGAGGAAGCATACCCAGCGAAGCGACACTTGGGACATTCTCGCAGAACGGCAAGAGGCAGGGGGCAATGTACGTTGATGGGGGAGAGTGGGGTTCACAACTTTTAAGATGGCCTGCATTGCTGTACAGTGGAGCACACGGGTAGGCACGCAGAGGCACGGGAAGGGTAAGGCTGCTCTGGTGCTGCAATAGGGATGGCGGGACTGTCAACGGGAGTTGGGTATTGGCCCCGTCCTCGCTTGGGCGGAGCCGACTTCGTGGTCGGGTGTGAGGGGAGCAGCCGACCTGCAGCAGTGGGTGAGCTGGTCGACGAGGAGATCGACCTGCACGGGGGACCATTGCACGGGCGCCGACTTCAGGGTGGCGCCGACTTCAAGGACGTCAACTTGGTGAAGCCGACTTCGTCGGTCGGCTAACGGACTGCTGGTCGACCTGTTAGTGGTCGACTGGACCTGGTGGTCGACGAAGGAGGGGCCGACGTTGACCTTGACTCAGGACGCCGAGCAGTTGGGCGTCGAGTAGCGGGGCGTCAACTTCGTGACGCCAGCTTCGGGTGGCCGACGTGGGTGGTCGGCCGACGACTGTGCTGGTCGACGAGGAGCAGGTCGACCAGGAGTACTGGTCGACGCGGAGTTGGTCGACTAGAGGAGACGTCGACGTGGAGGTGGTCGTCGACTTGGAAGGTCGACGGGCACGAACGGGAGCTGCTGGTCGACGTGGTTGCCTGGTCGACCAGGTTACCTAGGTGACGAAGTGCTGCGGAGGAGTGCGACGGACGCCCAGGCGAAGTTGGCGAGCCCGACCTCGGTGGTGGTATCCCGAGGTCGACGTGGCCGATCAGAGGCAGTCGTCAGCTCAAGGTTGACGTGGTGTTGTGCGCTGTGCAGGTGACGAGATACTGCACGCCAATCATCTGCGTGCACCTGCGAAGCGGATGCATTGCTGTCCTGCGTGAGCAACGCTGGCACGCTGTCAACTTGCGATGTTGGCACACCATCGACCTTGCCTTGCTGGAGCGCGGTCGACCAAGTCGTGCTGGAACGCGGTCGACCGCGCTGCGCTGGCAGTTGGCCGACCTGGATGCTTGCTCTGATGTAGTCTTACTATGCCAACTTCATTGTAATCATTGTTCCGAACTTTTCCTAGTGAAACTCTTGCCAAATTTCCCCGTGAACTAGCAAGTAGTGTGTGCACAAGGAAAACGACTAAGGACTAACGAACGCAGAGATCACACGAGCACACGTACCTAGCCCGTAGTCTATCTCCCGTTGCTGCAGTTATCTCCGCATGGTGCGGTGAGCGTGGAAGACACCGCGACGTAGTTCAGTCTAGCCGACTTAGCACATCCCGATCATGTTCGTAGACCGGCAGCCGTGCAGT